TCGGAAGGTTAAGTCCCGTGCCCCTAGCCTTCAGGCAGATAGTGATCGTTGGACTACATGTCAGGACCTCTTGGTCTCCGTTATGTTAATTTCCTGGAACTTGCTGGGGCCTTTAACACAGTGTCACAAGCTAATATAACATGCAAAATAAAAAGGTTGAGCACCTGCGATGAGGTGCTCTCCTGATTTCAAGACCATTTAGATGGCAGAGAATTCTGCTCGGAAGTCAACAGGGTTTGCTCGACTTGGAGGACGTCATCATCAACTTAATCGGAAGAAGTGGTTCTGGACCCACCGCTATTGGTTATTTTTGTAAATAACCTCCCATTGAGTCTCAGCTCCCCGATTTTGTTTTATGCTGATGATATCAAGTTATGGAGAGCTGTGACATCCGAAACAGAATCAAGTGCTTTTCAAATTGAGCCTTAGTTACTTGCATAGCCGGTGATATGCAGCGGAGTAGCATCTAACCTGGATACATACCAGACCATGTTTCTCCGCACCCCCGCATCCCACAGTCACACGAAGTATGTCAATCAGTCTATGATACGCAACTCTCCCATACAACCACAGGAAATGACCTGAGACCAAAACCGGCTGACAAGCTAGACACTTGCTCTAATTATTCAAAAAATGTATCCAGAGCTTACTGTGTGCTGCACTCCACGCGCAGACAGGCAGAGGCTTCATCCTTAGGCTCTGCAAAACCTGTATACTACCTTAATCTGGGGTCTCCCTCGTGATCCAACCACTAAACCCAAAGGAATATGAACCTCCTGAAGAAATTCCAGAGGGGTGCAACGATGTGTGTCTTTGAAAGGTACTTAAAACTCTGTGAGGACAGGATGAAAACCTTAAGTTCTGCGCTCTAAGTTGCCGTCGGTTACCTGCCAGCTGGATAACACCTTAAAAAGTAGTAAGTCATCCAAGTCGCCAGAGCAGCCGCATAGTGGTTCTCGTGGCAACCCAAGAGTATCCGATCACGGGAGGGCAAAAACCTGTGTGCGTTCACATTTTTCTCCCTACCAGTTTCCCGGCATTGAAACACATTTCCTGTCGAGATTACAGATAACTCGTCTATCGACAGCTTCAAGACTAGTTTAGAGATCCACGCAGCGATACATGGCTTGCGATCATCCGGCTGCGATGCGTACCAGGTCAACAAAGCCAGCTAGTTACGCACAATCTTGTACAGTCAAACCTAGGGTGAACCTTTTTTACCTCCACTGTCATCGCAAACCTGACTTAACTTCACACTTTCCTGTTGGACGTCACACCTCCAGTTACCATACTCTTAATAATAACTTCGTTATTTCCGTTCTCTGTGGCCCTTTCTAATATCTCATCTGCTCCATACCTTGCCACCGACTGAATGATAGCGCAACGAAGGTTCTGGTTTTCAGCACGAGTATTCACACAAACTTTATGTGCGATAAGTTTACCTTATTTTTAGGTGTATTTTGGTTCGTACTAAGATAACGAGGCTTTTCCTCTGTTCCAGTTTTGGTTTAGTCTCATGACGCTAATGTTTCTACTGATTTTCGAGTTCTTTCGGAGTTCTTGTGTAGATTTTTCTCTTACCCATTATTATGCCCTTTACGACAGTGGTAGCCAAACAGATTAGCAGGAGGCAGGGCTGTCGTCAACCGGTTGAGGTGGGTATGCAATGTGATATCTGCGGCGGTCGGTTCCATGGTGCTTGGGCAGACTTAGTGCAAGCTAAGTACACTAAATTCAGCAGGCCTGGTCGCAAGTGGCGTAACCGCTCTTGTAGATTTGTACTGGATGAGGCCCATGAGAACATCATTCACACGTTAACGGAAATTGAAAAAAGGCTGGCAGCAAACCAGGAAAGGGGAGGACGGAAAAGCAGTACCTAAGCACGAGGGTTTCGGCGCCCGAAAATCGACTGGTGGAAAAAGTGCTCAGGTCGCAGACCCAAATCGCCTCCAGCCATCCAACCCAATGTTTAACTGTAGTTTTACTTGCCATCCATAGACAGTACAAACTTATTGAATACTGACATGTCTTGAGATTTATTTCTCCTCAACATTGGACATGCAGTTCACTCCTATAGGTTACATGACTCACTACTGCCGGGATACTTTTTACGCTGAGGGATAATGCCCTCGTTAATTTCTACTACTGCTGTTTAACGATGTCATCTTTATCCGAAGTTTGTGACCAGCAACATCTAAACAACTGATTACTCCGGAGGACTTTGTATGGCGTGATGATTTGTTTCTTTTTAAACTTTTATAGCTTCAATAGGGAAAGGACACTTGGATATTGCCTGTAAAAATTGCATGTGTTCGTGTAATTCATTGTTTAACTCTTGTCAAACCCGTCGAGTCTGTGAAGGCGAGAAATTCAAAGAAGCCCAAGTTGGATAGTGGAATGGACGGCGGACCATGTGAGGCGCTCGCCAGCTCGCCAAACAAGCAGATATGTTGCCCATGGAAGAAAGAAAAGTTGGAGAAAAGACGAAAGCTCAACAAAAAATGCCCCAGTATCAACAGTCCACAAGACACCACTGTCCGAATGATTCTTTGACCATCATGAGACTAACAGATGGCCTCTATCAGCCATACAGCTTCCAGGACAAGAAGGATAAAGTTTTGCGGGAGAATATATTGAGAAAACGCAACCTGGACCACAGCAAACCAGTGGCTGGAACTGGCTTTCATGTGGTCCCAATCCAGTGACTAGGGACAAGGTCCATCTCTTAAGGCTCATATTCTCCAGCCTTGATGACGTTGAGGATGCGCTCTTAGCTTTTTGCTCGCTGAAAGCTGAAGAGGAAGTAAGAATACTACCAGATATTCCACACTCTGAGAGAATGGCTGTAAGGAAGCTCTCGGATAACAATCGCAATGCCTACTTTGGCGGAAGAAACCCAATAATGCAGGTGGTACCAGAAAACCCAGGCACTGAGGATATTCACTACGATTATGTGAGTAGAAGTTCCCCAAGAATACTATGAAATTACGAATATCCCACTATCGAAGTAGGACTCCCGGCTGTCGACCTGAGCGTTGAGCTAGTGCAGCGCAAACTGCTACTGCTCAGCAAAGACACCTCCCCGGGACCGGATAAAATCCATCCTATGTTACTGCATGAAGGAGCTTCAATCTTATCCATACCCTTAAATAAGCCACCTGAGAATTCTCTGAGCCAGAGAATAGTACTCGAACCCCAGGAACCGGGCCACGTGACACCAACCCTCACAGGTGGTCAGCGAAGCAATCCAAAGATATACAAGCCGGTGACCCTCTATCCATTCCTTCCAAAGTAGTGGAGTCTTTAATCTACGACTGACTTAGGGATTATCTCACGAAGATCAACTTCTTCAAAAAGGGTACTCCTCCATTACTAATCTGCTCACTGCAGTAGATAGACAGACGACTATTGTTGACTGTCGAGGACAAAATGATGTTATTTGCCTAGACTTTGATAAGGCTCTGGATAGCACTGATCATAATCACCAAATTGATAAACTGAAATTAATCGGGATACAACCACCACTCATTGACTGGCTGTCTTCATTTAGAGTTAGACTGAGTTTCTCTATGTCTGGAGGAACAGGATGTCTTAGTGGTGTTCCCCAAGGTTCAGTACTAGGGCCTCCCCTTTTTCCAACATATATAAACGACTTAACTCAACAGGCTTCCTCAGAAATCTTTCTTTTTGGCGATGACGTGAAACTCTGGAGAGAAATCACAAGTAAAGAAGACAGCGTTTCTCTATAGGAAGACAGCTCAACTTCACAACTGGGCAGTCAGCAGCGAGCTGGCATTTAATCCTGAGAAATGCAGGGTGATACGCGCAAAGCAAGATGCATCTCATCTGTATAGCCTCAACGGCATATAAGTTGAAGCGCCCCTGACAGAGAAGGATTTGGGTGTTTTACTCCCTCAAGGCTTAAAATCCTACGTCAACTGTGACAGAAACGCATTTCGTTGAAACTTGGCGTTGATAATTCTTGGACGAAGTTTTGGACACTCCTATCTTAAATGCTTCCATCAGATTTTCAACAGCTTCATACTGCCTTCGGCTGGAGTTCGGGATCATAGTCTTCCCCTCTTCTCTGCAGAAGGACAAACTTGGCTTAGAAAGCATCCAGAACCGCTCGACAAAATCTGTTCAAGGACTTAGGTCTAAACCACACGAAGAACGACCGGTTGCGCTGCATCTGTATCCCCTGAAATACAGAAGGCTAAGAAGACACTTGGTAGTGGCTCACAAATTTCCGAGCACACTTGGGCACCCACTGCATCACCTTTTAAATCCTAGCTGTGGCACTAATCTTAGAGTACACACACAGGAGCTAAGCTGGAAACAAAGCAGGTGATATATCACGAACTACTTGTGTCCCTTAGGAGTTGTTAAAAGCAGGAACGCCCTTCCTGCAGGTGTGCCCCAGGCTACTTTGCCTGAATCCTTCGAACGCCGACATGTAGTTGGGATCTGCCCAGGACTAATTGAATTTTCACACTTTAACCGTCATGTTTTCCCCTTTCTCTGCTTATACACAGGTTGCCAGCCACAATAAGCAGTGATCCATGGATTTTAGATGCGGAAGTCAGTTAAGTGAAAGCCTCTTCTATTACGTCAACAACCATTTTAACTCCCCTTCGGTTTCGCTTTTTTTCACCTCGTTTTTTGCAATTCCTCTCCTTTTGCTTCCGCAGAACTGCTTTCTTCCCGTCTGTTTTCTCTTTACAACTAGTCCAAGCGACTCTATGATGGCAAGAAACTTCAGGAACCCATCTGAACCACAGTCCTTCTAAAAACCATACAATCACTACGAAGGTAATAAACACCTGACCACCCACTGGGTCAGTCAGGGCTACAGGAGGCAAGTGTGTAGACCTACAGTATAGGAATCCACCAAAGAGCTGAAACTGTTCCACTTAACCTGGAAGAGAGTGTCAAGAAATCTAATGGTTAACACTAAATCTTTGAAAGACATTGAATACTGAAGCCTTATTCTCTGGCTCATGCTGGCGCTGACCACGATATGGGTTCCACGGTTTTCTCTTTTGAGAATTCCAGATTATACGCTAGCTTATGAATCCTACCGATGTATTTCAAAGGGTTTTATGCGGTCTCGAAAGGCTCAAAAATTTAATGATAATAGAGATGCAGCTGAGGTACTTGAAAACTCACTAGTTGGAGAATGTATAGAGAAACCGGTGAGTGCATTGAAGAAAGCGAGGCTTGTTGAAGGGCATAAACATAAATTTTCTGTGCTTTTCAAGAAGTATTCTGAGTATGTTCAAAGTAGTATTTTTTTAAATGACTGAAATAGTAATACTGTAGAGCAGTGTGTTCTTACATGGAAAGCAAAGCAGCAAATAGCCTTCATGCTGGATGGTGACGAGTCTATGGACTACGAAGAAATTGCTAGTTTATTTCCAATCACTCCTCAGGGGGCTAGAAAACTCTTCGGAAATAAACCCACTTCTATGTTTTGCAAGCCCGTTAACGTTCAGTGGCTTTTATACCACGATTCGCACATAACTACGCGCTGGAATCATTTGTTAACATCTCTTAGGACTATTTCTCACCACGTCTTCGTTAGAAATAAAGTACTGCAAGACGGCACTCTGCAGTCTACTGTTCTTGAACTGATACCCGATAATCTGATGTGGTTGTTCACAAACGCGAAGATGAACCTTCTGATGTATGCAAATGGAAACCCAGAGTTGCCTTATCAAGATAGATGGGACGTCGTCCAGGAAAACCATACTCCTGTATTTTTGAAAACTACGGACTGATGTTTGCTAATCCACCTAAAGACGATACACAAGATAAATTCTTCGAATATACCAATAAACTTAAAGAGTCCATTGAGAGTTTTCAAAAACTGAAAGGTGTTCTGCCACTGACTCCTCGTGCTTCCCTTGACGATAACTCGCCACAATTCTACTCGTATTTGTTGAACTGTGCAGTTTCGGTTGCTCCACATAATTATGGCAAGAGATCGGTGTCCCTGCCGAATGTCGTGAAACTTCGTGATTATTTCGTCCGTGGAAACTGATTTATTTCTTCTTGTTTTAGTCCATTTGTATACACATCCATTCACTTAAAAAATTTTCAGTAACACAAAATCAGTCTGGATTACTTGCAACCGTTTCCGTGTTTTTTGTTTATACACTAAGGTGTATTGATGTATATGGAATTTTTAAAATTATTGAGAAACATTGTATGGGTACGGATATAATTGGTCCAGTTTTGTTTTATTTCGTACGGAAATCCTGGGTCAGGCTCTCTGTCCTTACTAATATTGTCTTTTAAGAAATATCACATGCTTAGAATCCCACTCTGTATCAGAATTATTGTCTGGGATCAAGTGGTCATTATTGCGAGATATTATTTTAATTCGTATTCAGACAGCTGTGTTTTGGTTTTCCTTGCGACTTCAAACCGATGATTCCTTTTATGGTTATGCTGTAAATTACCTACTTTTGTCAACCGTGTCTACTGGAATCAATGCAGGGGAAAGTTAACTGTTTTTAAATTTCTAAGCTCTTCTGACTCCATCTTATGTTTGGAACCTAACTCCACCTACTGGGGTCTTAAAATGTAGGCCGTCACTGAATTATGCTAACTTTTCATTGTTGTAGAGGTGCGCTGATATTCTGTTTACACGCGTGACCGAATGGATGCAGACTGTTTAGCCATAAACTGCAGATCTGAATTACTGTCTTCCCTTTTGTGAAATTACTTGATAGGTAACTTAATAATAGCTTCGATTGTGGCTAGTTAATTTACTTGAACATCAGTTCGAGCGATAGACACTAACTTGTTAAGAAGTGACTTCAAGAAAACATTTCTGTTGCTACTTTTATTTAGATTATCATCACTACTGCAAGCTATGCTACTCATCGTATCCCGTTTATGTATTAAAGTAGAGCGAAATCTTTAGCTTTTGTGTTTCCAAGCCGTATTTTGTGTGCTGGGGGAAAATACCACATTTCTCTAAATATAGTTTAGTTCTAATCCACGGTTCTCACTATTTATCCACGTCAATTCGCTCTATTTTAGTCCTCAAATACAACGAGGATATATATATATATATTTGTCCCTTGGGTTCCTAGTGGGACATAGGACTTCAGTAGCACGTCTCCAGTGTACCTCTATTCTCTGCAATCTTTTCAACCTGGCTCCATGACTTCCTAGAAGCTCTCATTTCTTCCTCGCACGATCTCCTCCATGTCACCCACATCTCGGCCGCCCAACTCGCCGTCTCCCATCTAGGTTCCATTCGAGGGCCTTGCGCGTCCCCAGTCGGTCTTCTAAGTGTATGTCCAGTCCAATCCATCTCCACTTCCTTCTTCATATTTGTTGAGTGGTAGGTTCTTGGTTGGTTCGTTGCCAGCCAGAGTTCCTTGTTGTTTATTCTTACTATTCTGGCCATCTGAGCTTCAATAACGAGGCAGTGTGGGCAGTTGTTGATGTATGTCTGTGGTTTGTTGAAAATGCCTTTCGTAACGCTCCAAGTCTCTCATATAGAAGCACTGACTTGATATCAGTGATAAAAATCCGGATCTTGTTCTTCATGCTGAAAGCAGATGATCTCCACACTGGTTTCAGGCTTATGAACGCCTGTCTTGCTTTTCCGATCCTGGCTGCCTTGACATCCTCGTCTATGCCGCTACCTGTTGTTGAAACAGTGCTTCCTAGATAGGTGAAGGAGGTTACTTCCTTTAAGCTTCTCCCGTTGATGGTGATTGGAGTTCGTTGTTGTTGTTGGTTGGGTATCTTCATCACCCCTGTCTTCTCTACGTTCACTTGAAAGAAGTACCGTCTTCGCTGCCTCACCTCTTCTGTCAACTTGTTGGATTTCGCCTGTAGATCATCAAGTTTGTATGACATCAGACACAAGTCATCGGCGAAATCCAAATGTTCTAGGATATTTTCCCGGTCCAGCGTATCCCCCTCTTCTCGCTCCCCACTGTTTGTTGCATGATCCAGTCGAGTCGACCACAATCAGGAAGATTATTGGTGATAGTAGACAGCCTTGTCTTACTCTTGTCTTCACTTCAAAAGCATCACTGATCTGAGCTTCCCATTGTGAATTACTTGGCATGTGGCGTCTTCATATAGTTGTTGAATGAGGTTGATGAAGGTTTGCGGTATTCCGTAGTGTTTAGGCAGTTGCCAAATTACTTGTCGGTCGACGCTGTCAAAGGCCTTTTCAAAGTCGATGAAGTTGAGGTGTAGAGATGACTGTCATTCTATACTCTGTTCTATGATGATGTGTAGCGAAGCGTTGCAATTTGGTCGGCACATGATTTGTACTTCCTGAATCCAGCCAGCCAGCCTGTTCCGGTCGTAGTTTTGAATCTAGTGCATCATTTAACCTCTCCAGGATGATGCGGCTGAATATTTTGCTTGGGGTGGACAGGGGTCGAGTATGATTCCGCGCCAGTTCTTGCAAACACTGAAGTCTCCCTTCTTCGAGAGTTTGACAAGGTAACCCATCTTCCAATCGCCAGGTACCTTCCCTTCCTTCCACACCTTCTGCAATAGAAGTGGTGTGAGCATGTCCGCTGTTGTCTCTGCGTCTGTTTTCACTGCTTCTGTTGGGATTCCATCTGCTGCTTTCCCACATTTCATCAGCCTTATGGCGTTCAGGACTTCCACTTTTGTTGGAGGATTTATGTTCACTTGTAGTTCGGTGGCTACAAGTTGTATTTCTGGACGAAGTGCAGGTGGTAGTCGATTCAAGAGCTTCTTGAAGTGGTCGGCCCATTGTTTACTTTGCTTCTCTTCTTTCGTAATTAAATTTCCGTCATCACCTTTTATTGGTTTCGTCTGCGTTGAACTCTTCCCAGATAGCAACCTGGTTATTTGATACAATGTTGTCAGGTCTCTCTGTGTCTCTCCTACCAGCAGCCTGTTCTGCTTCACTTGCAAGTGTGTCGTATGTATCTTTCGTCTTTCCGTGCACCCTTCTTCACTTCTTTGTCCAGTGTTTTATACATTGTACTCAGTTCCTCTTGTCGTTGAGCATCCTTGCACTGGTTTATCTTCTGCTTCACCATCCTCCTCCCCTCTGTCAGCTTCCATGTATCCATTGAGATCCACTCCTTATCTTCTTTCTTCTTCCTTCCTAATACGGCTGTGCAGGTTTCTTTCCACATCTCTTTCAAAGACTTCCAGTGTTCTTCCACACAGGTTTCTTCAGGTATGTTGCTCGATATCTTTCATTTTGTCTTGATGGCTGACATGAAGATCTCCTTTGTAGTTTCGTCCTTCAGTTTCCGAGTGTTTGCTTGAACTGTGGTCTATCACCAGCTTCTTTGAAGGCTTCCGGCTTGGTTTTGAAGGTTCCTTGCACTAGATAGTGGTCTGAGGCTACATCTGCTCCTCTTGACCTTGTGTCAAGTAGACTGCGTCTCCACTTTCTTGAGATCGAGATGAAGTCGATCTGATTTTTGGTGTGATGTGTCCTGGTGTCTGGTGAAATCCATGTCGCTCGCTATGTGGATATCCTTGTGATTGAACACACTACCTCCAATCACCAAATCGTCGAATGCACAGAATTCTGCAAATAATTCTCCATTCTCGTTCATCACCTCACCGAGGGCTTCTCTACCCATGGTTAGTTCTCTTTCTGTGTTGTCTGCTCCTTGTTTGGCATTCATGTCACCCCACCCATTAGAATTTTGATGTTGCCAACTGGGGTGGGGCTTGTCCAGTGTTGATTGAAGTTGTCTGTAGAATTCCTCCTTTTTCTCTTGCTCTGCATTATTTGTAGGTGCATAGCGTAGCACTGTATGATTGTGACTTTCCTTCCTTTTGAGTTGAACCTTGCTGTGATGATCCTCATCCTGGAGGAGATTGGTTCCCACTGCATGAGGGCCTTCGATGCTCTTGAGGACATCATGATAGCCACTCCATAACTCAGTGTACTCATGGTTGTCGTCTGAGTGACAATATCGGAGTAGATTATTGACTCTTCAGTTGACTGTTTGGAGAGTCCACTCCCATTCCACCTGCTTTCGCAGATTCGTAGCACCTCAATGTGATACCTTCTCATCTCTTTGATAATTTGGGCAGCCTTGCTAGGTTCAAACATAGTGCGGACATTCCATGTCCCCATGTTTACTTTCACTTTCGTCGAGAGAAGACACATCAGTCGAATGGCTTCCCGAAGGCTTTCACCAATTGGCGTCATTTCGTCTCTCCAGTTCCAGCGAGGAATAAGTTTGTTATTGTTTTTTATAATTTGTCTGTGCTTTGAAGTTTCTGTAGTGGTTGGATTGGTTTTCCGGGGTAGGGTTACTATCCCCAT